AGGGTTCAGGGTTTAGGGGTTAGTGTTCAGGGTTTAGGGTTGAGGCTTTAAGGGTCAAGGTTGAGGGGTCTAGGGTTTAGGGTTGCCGACTAAAGTCTGTAGCAGGCTTCATAACAAGAACCTGCAGAACTGTAGGGTTATGGTAGTTTAAGGTAAGCTCCGAGCCCCTAAACTTTAAACCCTTAAACCCCTAAACCCCTAAACCCCCTAAACCCCTTAACCCTAAACCCTAAACCCTAAACCAAGCTGGCTGAGGCCTTGAAGGATCGCGTCTTCGGGCGCATGGATGTTGTGACCAACTTCACGACGTGCCCCTTTTTGGAGGGTTCAGGGTTTAGGGTTTAAGGTTTCCTTTCGGAGGGTTCAGGGTTTGAGGCTTACCTTAACCCCAAATAACCTACCGCTTTTAAGAACTTATATAATGAAATCCTAAGAAGGAGCCCTAGAAGGGTAGGTTCTTGAAGGTCTAGGTAGGGTTTGAGGTGGAGGATTTAGGGTTTTCAACACGATGCGCCCCCTTTGGTGGGTTCGACAAGGGGGGCTTGATCGTCAGATAACCAGTTCTTCAGTGAAACTCGTGGCGCAGTCAGTATGTAGGGTTTGTTGGGGGCTCTATAGTGTATTTCTAGTATAATATACCCCCCCCCCCAAAAAAAAAAATGCCATTCTAATTATCAAAGCCCCTATGTTACATTCGGGAAGCATGAAGACTATACTGACTACATTCACTACATCACCGAAAACCGGATTGTAATGGACTCTAAACTAAAGGGTTCCAGATGATGAGAAGGGTTCGGGGTTTATTAGAGTTTAGGGTTTCAAGCCATAAGCCCTAAACCCTACACATTTCATTTCAAATCAGAGTAGCCCAAACGCCTCATATGCTTCTGAAGCTTCCAGAGAACTCGTGTGCCAGTCGCATCGGCCGTAGTCTCACCAATCCACCAGTGCCCAAGACAAGGTCAGCACACACACAGACATAAACCCTAAACCCTAAACTCCAAACCACAGAGGAGAGCTACGGATGCGGGTTTAGGGCTTCGTTCGGGTGCAGCCGTGAATCGAAACATCTTCGGAGTTCAGAGTTCGGGGTTTATGTTGTTGGGCCTTATGAGTGACCCTAAACTCTCAACCCCTAAACCT